TTGATAANTGACAATAATTATTCTTATTTTTGGTCTCTTGACATGAATTATTATAAGAATAATGCTAGATGGACTTAAAAATTAGTCTTGATAATCTCGACTATTAAATAAGTAGGGGGTCCCAATAAATGCTGAGACTCACAATAAAATCAATGGTTGAGATTATCAAGTCTAGTTTTTAAGTCTATTTTTTAAGTCCACGTAGCATTACTCATTATTAATGACATTAACATTAGGGAGTATTTCATAGCGTGAAAATGGTGTCATCTGTTCAGCTCAAAATCACTAGGATTTAATATAGTTTTTTTTTTTTCTTGAAGTGCACTAATACTATCACGAAAGTCTGTAAATTATTTTTGACCCTCTCAAGTATAACATCGTCGCACGGTGTACCATTTATGTCCTTTGTTCCCCATTGGACATCCAAGAATGTCTATCGATTTTACACTGCCCCAATTGGAGAAGTCCATCACAAACTAAATAGAAAGGTGTATTACTTTGCTCCAATTTATATGACATCATTTCATTTTATACTGAAATTTAATGAGAAATGAATAATTTACATCCAAAACATAATGATATAAGGTGTAATAGACCATTGTTTAAAATAACAGATAATTTAATAGTTGTTGATCCAGTGGTATGAAATTTTGTACCATCGATAGACACAGTGGTTTTCTAGCAAGAAAATATTACTGTATCTAATTTGGAGATCTAGTTCATAACTATTAGATGAAAATTTTGTCACATTTGACCTAGAAATTTACAATTAATCTAATGATATTAATAAATTAGGTCTTTAAATTAAATATCTAAATTAATTTCAAATAACATTGTTCATAAAAATTTTCGTGAAGGTGAGAGATTGATTACCAATTTAACAACTTGCGTAAATCTTCATGGATTATTCCTTGATCATCGTAGTCGATATCAAGAATGTGACGCAAAATTTTAGTTACTTCCAACTGTCAATTGTTCGTAGAATGGGTAATAGATTTTCATATCAACACACTTTATTAGCTTCGATTTATACCCTTAATGTTATATATTGATAGTAATATAGACCTCGTCTAGACTGCTATTCAATATTTCGTCAAAAATTGAAGCACTTGAATTTCAAGTGTTTTGGGCATGAGTTTGTGTCAATTCACAAACTGTTGACACCTTATGTGAGTTGCACGTGATTTGATTTGCATATATCTAATTGAGCAGACCTTATTTTCAATATACCAAACGGTGTCAATTGATCACAAATGAAGGTTTGTAGCGATCGACATACATCATTCTTATGCCTAAAGCACGTGCACCTTACATGTTTCAATTTATGACGAAAAACTAAACAGTAGTCTGAGTCAAGTCCACATTACTATTAGTTCATAACATTGGATGTACAAATTGAGATTTTTAATATTTAAGGGTATAAATTAAGAATTAAAACATCTTTCGAGGTGCAAAGTGAGATTCGCCCTAATCTAAACTACGAGTAGACACTCGCGTTGGTGGGAGGCAGACTCGGAAAGAATTCCTAGTTAGTTTTAACATAGGATAAAATTGTGCTATTTAAATTTGTTTACCAAATATTGTACCCTAAATGATGTGTTAAAATTCTATGTATTGAATATTTGGTGAAATTAGTGGACTCCATTGATCTAACCACTCACATTAATTTGGAATACAAAATTTGATAAATGATTTAATAACCATAACAGTGTTACTTGACATAATAAGCAACTAGTTAGGTCTTTATCATTTTTCGAATTTCACAGTACTTTTTGACAATTTCGTATTTATGAGTTTTTCTTGTATGGATGCATCTCGATATTGTGAAGGATTAATTACAACCAGCCACCCTCACCTATTAGATGGTCTCATTTAAACACCTTTGACTATTAAACCCGATGGATGGATCCCTTCAACCATTGCATTTTAAGAACCTTCCGTTCGTTTGACCGTTTAGAATTATAAGATTAAGACACCATTTTTTTTGGGTATCTGATGCAATATAAGTGGCGAGAATTTTGATATTTTATTGAACGGTGTTAATGTCATTTAATTAGAAAATTTAAGGAGATTTTGTTGTATTTTTTAATTTAATTAGGAAAATATTTTATTTTTATTTTATGATTTAATTTTATTTAATTTCCCGTTTTATTTACTACTTGCATACTTTATCGTGTGATATAGTTGTATTGCCCTTCGTTTTAACAGTTGATTGTATAATTCCATTTATTAACTCATGCTTGAAAACATAATAAAATATAAGATTCGAGGGTTCAAAAAATTGATCCCCTTATATCAATTAGTAATTTTTTATTTTTTCATTTCTTTGATGAAAAAATTTAAAATTAATTTCTACATATTATTTTCTTACAAATAGAGTCAAAATTTTCTCAAAATGTATAACCCGATAAAATTTTGTCAACATGTTTATATTATCGTATATGAAAAAAGTTTGAAATAAAAATTGTATTAAACCATAAATTAAACATATGAAAGAATTTGGTGATGTGATAATTTTGGGGAGCAAAATATATAGGGGATAAAAATTCAACTTCCAATGTATCTTATTATATAGATATATAAGAAATCTAATCACGTCAGAGATTGCCCAAACCCATTTTTTTTTACTACAGGATTGCCAAAAAAATTTTGGTATTCATACGTCCAAAATTTATTACTTCAAAGGGTGTTTTTATAATTTTTGTGAGTTATTTTACAACAAAACAATTTACCACAGTTATGTGTATTTTTATCACTGTTGTAAGTATTTTTATCACATTTGTAGTAAATACTTTTACCACTTTTTGAAGTATAAAAAATTTATTATTTTTGTAGATGATTTATCATATTTGTGAGTGTTTTTACAATATTTGTTGATGTTTTTATCACTGTTGTGATAATTATTTTTATTATTTTTTTAGATATTATAATATTGGTAAAAATTACTATAAATGTGATAAATTTTGGTATGGTACTGAAATTTTACTATTGCAGTTAAATCCTAGTTTGACATTCATTTCCAATGAATCAACAAAAACTTCAAGTTCCAATGAGCTTGAACACCTTCTCCATAAATTTGCAAACCGCCAAAACGAATGATTTATGAAGCATGTACTTGCTTCCAAATCATCAACAGCATGATCAGCAAAAGGTTGAATGAAAAAATAGTGCAACTTCTTGAATGCTTTTCTTGGTGGCCACTCACTAAGCTTTCTGTCGGTGCATGAATGACAAAACTATTCCATAGCCTTGGAGATGCTCTCTAGAAGCAAAGTCAATTAACAAAAACCAAACAAAATTATCAAAGTTGAGATGAGCATAAAGAGCAAAAACCAAGCGTGGTAGTGCAGCACTTATTTTGCTGTTTCTAATGAGAACTCTGCAGACTTGAGGGTCAAGTGGGTGAGAGCTAAGCAGCTCCTGGACTTGAAACATTAAATCATCAAACAAAATTATCTTCACATTTGCTTGAGTCTGGAAATCAATAGCTCGAACATAAGGATAAAACTAACTACTACTTCTCTCAAGTGCGCTATAGATTTACAGAATTTAGTTCCAAGGACGAGCCATTTATTAGTGAAAGAGTAATGATCACAAACTGCACTTCCTTTCTGGGGACAAAATATCAAAATTCAACAATGCAACATTAGCAGTTTTTTTCCGTCTCTTCCTTTACTTTCATTTTTGTTTTCGAGAATAGAGATCACAACAACAATTCTCCCCACAATTTTTTGGAGTTGGCCCCTCAAATTTATTTTAGTTTTCCTTAAAGAATAACCAACCTTGTATGAAGAATTTACCCTTCTGAACCTTAATTCAAGACTACAACAATGGACAACATACTTTCTTTTTTTTGGTTTAACGGCCAGAGGAAGCCTCCAGCAAAGAGCGTTCATGCAGGATAGTAGAATACTAAGAAATGTTGCTCCGGTTTGTTTAGATTAGCTGTTTTACGTCATAATTCATTTGTGTAAAATGAATGAATATAATGTTAGAATTTGAAAGAACTATATCTCCTCCGCTTTCACATTCCCTTGCGCGCAAACAGTGTCAAAGGTCTTACTTTGCTCACTAGCTAAGATACACAAAAGTTCAATAAAAGCTCTTGTAACTATTGGTATTTTTCCAATGTGGATCTTGTTAAACAATGTAATTTTTTCATATCTTAAAAGATATTTTCATTTTTACTAAAAAGATCTAAAAAAGAACTTTCAATTTATTTATTTTTATTAAAAATACTCTAACAGAAGGAACCATGTAATCTAAGATATATATAAGTTCACCATTTTGAGATGTTGTTTTCGATTAGCCTTTTAGACTATGGATTATCTTGTGATTGTGAAGATTGCATTCGGTTACTTTTTCTTTTCTCATCTTGCCTTAATCAGAAGGAAAAAAAATGCGATGATCAAATCTCCTTGCTTGCCAAGGAAAGTGCAATGTTGCTTATCCTTACCAATTGGTGTATATTATATACATACATTTATGTATGTATATGGGGTTGTGTGCGTCTATATAGAGATTAAATTCTTTATGGATAAGCCAATAAACAATTGTTTACGGACAATCAATCAAAATTGAGGAACTTCATAAACACATAAAATCAATATTTACGATTTTTAATAAGTATGTATAATTCTTCAATTTTGATTGATTGTTTGTAAATAAATTGTTTACTTGTTTACAGGCTGCCTGTAAAGAATATATTTTCGTTTATATATATATATTGAGAGGGAGAGAGAGAGAGAGAGAGAGAGGTGCACAGCATCCAACAACATTAGCAACCCTAAACCAAACTCTTGCTGGCCCAGCCACAAGTAAAATAATTGCCCATGAACCTTAGTGGAAAAACTCAGTTTGCATATTTTATTGTCTGCCCTACAATTGATAGAACCTGCAAACGGACGTCACTCCAAAGGATGTATCGTCCTTAAATTCTAAATCCCCCACCAACAGCAAAAAAGAAAGGGAGTCCCATAAGGATTTCCACCATTAGAGAAATGGCTGAAGAATGCACCGAAAGCTCTGTTGCAGCATCTTCCTCTACACTTAATTGGTGGCCAGATCTTCATACAAGCTCTTCATGGAGTACTACTACGAACCCATGGCACACACCAAATCCTCATTCCAACTCTCCTGGTGAGGAAGATGTGTCCATGTCTACGTCTTTTACGAATGCTTCCAATCACTCTGGCCTAAGCGTTGAGTCCTCTCGTAGACTTGTTGAGTGTTCATCGACAAACGAATTGATTGGAGAAACAGCTCCTGATAATCATCTGTGGAGCCAAGTTTTCTTGTAAGTTTGATTGTTGCACCATATATATATATAAATGAAAAATATATATGAAGATAACTTTTATTATTCAACATATTCCCTCCCCCTTTTTTTTCAACATATATTGTGCATCTACATGCATATTGTATTGTGGGGGTGGGTACAGTATCTTTTTTCTTCAAAGAAAAATAGAAAAAAGTTGCTCTAATGGCTAGGTGGCTAGGTGCACATCTAGCAACGCCGATTTGACAAGATTTGTTATTGCTGTTTGCAACCAAAAACCAACATATGTTGCAAGAACTAATGAAAAACAGTGATAGTGATCCAATAACTGGCCAACCATAGTTGGAATATATTATTTTCTAATTTATGCTGCTATAATTGGGATATATTTCTATAATTTATGCTGTTTTCGGACTTCTATTCTATATATGATTTTTATCTCTGTCCTTAAAGAAGACCCATAAAAACTTCTGAGTGATACCCTGCAGAAGTGTTGGGAGCAGTGGAGAATTACCCAACGGTCAAGATGTTGGAGAGAACTTGCTGGACTCATTACCCTCCAAGAATATATCTTCCAGTATGTTTGAACCAGCCTGTGACTACTTGAAGAAAATAGAAAACAGCTGGGAATTCGCTAGCTCAACCTCTTATAACAACCTCGAAAAGCATTTTCATGGATATAACGACACCTTAATTGACAGCGAAAGGCTAAACAGATTGTCAAATTTGGTCAGCAATTGGTCTATAGCTCCACCAGACCCTCAAGTCACTCAACAGTTTGACCCACGAGCATGCAGTAATTCTCTGAGTTCTAATATAAATCAATATTCACAGCCCAATTTTTGCTCTATAAAGCAACCTGCCAACAGTATAAGATCACTTTTCCGGCAAGGGCATGACTTGAAAGTTGAGGATGATCACCGGGAGATTGACGCGACCAGGGCTTTATGTCGAAGGTCATTTAACAGCAATGGAATCAGATATCAAATGGGAAATAACAACTCCATAGTAGGAGAGAATGGAAAATACTACTTTGGAGGATTAGATGTGCCATGCACCAATACAAGAAATTTCTCAGATGCTGTATCTTTCAATAGTTGTTTAAGCAAGCCCTTGGTGGACATTAATGCATCTAAACCTCTCCTGAAAACCATGAATATATCAGATTCTAAGAGGCAGGGGATCCAATCCTCTTGTCCAGTAAGCTCTCTCTCTCTCTCTCTCTCTCAGATGTGATAGAATCCAAAAAGATTTATTCATGTGAATATATTCCAGTAAAGTATACACGATGATCTGTATGTGTGTGTAAAAAAAAACCAATCAATAATTCATGGATATAGTTATTGGTCATTTCATCCGTGGAAGTAGAGACAATGTGCAGAATCACGTATATTTTAGTTTTCTGGCTTTCCTTCGTTTTATCATCTTCAATTTGTTTCGTTTTCTAAGTTTCTACTTCTGTGTATATTTGTGTTGATTTTGTTTGCTCCCAGTTATTTTTGTTTTTCTTCTCACTTTTTAAGTCAAGAAAAATGTTATTTGGACCTAATTTGGGGACCTAATCTAAGGACCTAATTCAATACATTCATTGGATTGATTGTAGGTTCCATTTAACATTGAAACTCACAACTAATCCAATTATTACATTGAAATCACATCATTAGGTTCTTAAATAAAGTCTCTATAGCATTGCTATAAAATTTGATGGGTTCCTCTGTAGCAGAAGTTTCAGCCTACAATATCAACATCCTCCACACTGACAAGAAGCAGTGGAAGGGGACAGGGAGTTACAAGTGAGGGAAAAAAGAAAAGGTCTGAAGAGAACTCAGACACAGTCTTGAAGAAGTCCAAGCTTGAGGGTTCTACAGCCTCATCTGCTAAGGTATATTCATAATCATATGGGTAATACGACAAAGAAAACCGCAGGCTTTTTCGTAGTGGGGATTTTCATTTTTTCTTCTTTTCCTTGGATAATAGCTCCAGGTTCCAAAGGTCAAACTCACAGAAAAAATCACATCCCTTCAGCAAATTGTTTCACCTTTTGGAAAGGTTAGTACAAAAGTTTAAAACCTCTCCACACTATTTCTATACTTGATTGAGCTTATTATTACAACCATCACCACACTAACACTGAGGCATGTATTATTGATATTATTTTGCAAAATAGTTCCTTTTTAATACTCCTCCGATTAATGTCTCAGACCGACACGGCATCGGTGCTAGGGGAAGCAATTGGATATATAAAGTTTCTGCAAGAACAAGTGCAGGTAATACCCTCACAACTTTTTTTTACATTAACGCTGTTACAGTAGCACGCAAAAACCCAATCATCATTCACATTAGTTTATTGCTGGTATTGCCAGATTACTTCAAATTAACTCCCCTTCCCCTCAACCCAAAAAAAAAAAAAAGAACAACTAGCTTGCGCCTTGAGAACTTAGTATCTTTATGCATTGCGCCACAAAGGCGTCAGCTAAACCTAGCTATGCTGGTGTGGATGCATGATAAATTATACTCTGACTGTATTTAGGGACAAGGAAGCAAGATTTGCATCCTCTAGCATCTTTATTCAACTTAGTGAATCAAGAGGAGAACAAAAAGACATGTTGAAATGTTGTTGGACAAAATTGATAGGGAATTATGTAATTATATTTTTTTTTTTTTGCATAATAATGGACCTAGCCAAATAGGGTTACATTAATAACGGCAACCAATGGCCAACTCAAGAAAAATAGTTGTAATTCTCCTATTCAGAAGGCTCTAATATCCTTTAGATATGATTTCTAGTAATGAATTTGATTCATACTTTTTGCAGCTATTGAGCAACCCTTACAGGAAGAGTAATGTCACCAAGGTAAGCAAATGAAAATATACTTGTCTTACTTCTTGGCCGAAAAAAATTCTTGAAAAGTATAATTATCTTGTGCTCGGTTCAGGACCCATGGGGAGGATCGGATAGAAAAGACCGAGGAGATGTAAAGCTTGATCTCAAAAGCCGAGGCCTTTGTTTGGTTCCCATTTCCTGTACCCCTCAAGTTTATCGTGAGAACGTGGGATCAGATTACTGGACTCCGTATAGAGGATGTTTATATAGATGATCCATTCAAGGTTCTCTTTCATTCTTCTGATGGTCAATGTTATACTGTTAGCCGGAGTAAGGCAATACTTTGCTTAAGCGAAAATAACTGGATGACCACAGAATGATAATACTAATGGCTCAGTAACCAGTGTTTGATATTGTGTTTTTAGAGTTGAAAAGAGAAAGAAGACTAGAAAATATGATCATGTAACTTCAATCTTTTGGTTTTATATTTTGATGCATTTTGTGGGAAATTTCTAAAGACTGTTAGTGAAAAGTACTTTTTTCAAAAAGAAATACTTTGCGATTTAATTCACAGGATCAAAAAACAAATATTGAAATCTTCAACTACCCAACATTACCTTTTTTTTTTTATTTTTTTGGGAAAAAAAAGTATACCCCAACACTCCCTTTATACTAAGCAATAACAGTTTTCCGGGGCTGCCATTATACACTTTCCCATGCCTGGTGTAAGGTTTTGCATTGTCCCTGCTCAATGTTATCCTCAAAGTGGAAAGCAATGCAGGTTAAAAAATACCCAATTTGTCCAAGAGATAAGGAATTTCAAGTAATATGTATTCCTTTCCAACACAATCACCTCATTCTGATATTTGCCAATAAAACATTCACTAATATTATTGAAACATAATTTAAGAACATAATTTGATTACATTAGATTGATAGTGGGGTTCATTTAATACTGGAACCTATTGACAATCCAATAAACTTTGGATGGAATGTGATTTACAAATAATTTCAGAAGGATTTTTGACTACCCATCTTCTAATCAGGTTGCCATTCGTCTTGTTAATTTTGAAATTGAATCCGACATTTATTCTTTGTGGTCTTCTTCTCCGGATTTTATATCTTCTTCCGTTAATAGGGATATAATTAATTCTCTAAATTTTAGATTTAAATAATGATGTATTGCACGCACGCATGTCATTTTTTTTTTCGCTGTGATTCTTAATTCAATTTCGGAATTGTATTAGTTACTTAGGGTAAGGCTCTTTACGTCCCCCTATTTTAGGTTGTAATTTAGCTTTTCCTTATTCAAAAAAATTATCTCGTACCATTCGAAGTTTTGTTGGAAAAAAAATCTTTTATTACTACTTGTGTGCTCCATCGTGTGCTATAGATGTATTGCCAATTTTTATAACACTTGATCGTATAATTCCATTTATTTTTTATAATAATGATACACTCATATCTATATAATAAAATAGTTAGATTGTTTGTGTCGAGTTTTTCGCGATTCAGATCGTTTTGATCCGTTGGTCATAATCGAACTTTCATTCTTTTTACAACTCTAAGACTCATCTCTTATATAACTCTCTCTTTCTATTTATCTTATACTTGCTCTCTCTCACACTATTATCTTTTTTTTTTGTTTCCTGTGTGCTTGTTTTTTGTTATTAATTATTTATTTCAAGAAAATAATTCAAAGTTTTTATATATCTGATGACATGTATTTTGCTACTTGCTTCTTAATTTATAAATAACACTTAATTTAAATAAAAAATAACACATTGACTATAAAAATCAAATAATATTCAACATGAAATGAACCTTAAATTATTAATTAATATATAATTTAATCAAACATTGACATTAAATTTTGTCCAATTTATATTCAAATTTTTCAAATTAATATCAAATTAATTTTTATTGTTATCAAATTAATATTGAAAGTCATTTAATCAATTTTTTGGAGTACTATATTATATTAATTTTTTGGGTACTAAATTTGGAAAAGAACAATTGCAAAAATAATAAAAAAATTTGAGATGAAATTATTAATTTCCATTAGCAATATTGAAGAATTATTTATAGAATGTCAGGAGGTGTCCGTGTAATATTGCCAAAATTGAGAGGATGTCCGTGATTTTTACCTTTTTTTAATTAAATATTAATTTATTATTATTTTAACTTAAAAACTTGAATTATTGTATTTCTAATAGAATAAATTATTGGTTAAGAGGGTTTGTTAGTAACCAAAAAAGAAATGTATGTGGGGTGTGTTTTTGTGTATATTTATATATGGAGGATTGAACATTTAGAAATTAAATTTATAATTATATTGTATTATTTGGAGTTGAATGGTAATAAATTCATTAGTTTTATAAATGAGTAAGATTTAGTTGATTTTATTTATCACTTAAAGATTATGAATTTAATTGTGTTATGTTAGTATTTTTTGTTTTTTGCTTGAGGTATTTATTACATGAGAATAGGGTGAATTGAAAATATAGTAGTTGAGGTTATAATTATATTGTGTTATTGGATTGAGTGGTAGTGTAGGTAATAAATTAGTGAATCTTATAAATGAGCAAGATTCTATTTATTGCTTAAAAATTATAAATTTCAATGAGTTATGTAATATTTGTCTTTTTAGGCATTTGTATATATGATGTTATTTTGGGGAGTTTTTATATATTTTTATGACAATTTCATTAATATGGAGGATATGATCGACGATATATTGTGAGTCATTTTAAAAGAAAAATTGATGTGAATAATTTTAGGTCATTCATTTTGAATTTAGACAATTGTTTAAGATTTTTTTGTTTATTGTATAGTACTTTCAGGTACGAACAATGACCAATATATTTATATAATAAAAGAGCTAACTTTATTTGTCTTGAGTTTTTTGCAGCTCAAANTGTTTTGGGTTTTTTGCAGCTCAGATCGTTTGAGGATTATTGATCCAACAATCCTAATTAGACTTTCATTCATTTTACAACTCTAAAACTCTTATATATATATATATATCTTTGTCTATCTCATACACCCAACTCTCATACGTAGATAACACTCTCTTTCTCTATCTATCTCATATCTCTTTTAAACACACACATACACACATAGTGTGTGTGTGTGTGTTTGAATTTTATTTCAGTCATACTTTTTTCCCTCAAAATCATCACCAATCACTTACCTCACCCATAATATTTTTGTCGGACTCAAATGTCAAATCGCATCACTTATTTCTATCATATATTTAATTATTTATATATTTTTTTTTAAAAATATCACGTCACTCATTTCTATTATATATTTAATCATTTAATATTTGATTAATTTATAGTTAATATATTTTGAAAAAAATTAATATAATGGAATCAATTTTTTAGACGTTCGAATTTTATATTATATCGTGCCTTCATGGGTTATAACTAGTATATATATATCCTATCTCTTAGACATTTTAAACACATTCTCTCATCTCTCATATAACTCTGTCTTATATCTTTTTTAAACACAGACGCTCTTATTCTCATATAACTCTCTATTTCTATATCTCTCTCATAGACGTTTTCTCTCTCACACTCTATTTTCTTCTATCTCTGTCAGTATCTTTATCTCTCTCTCCTATCTCTTAGGCATTTTAAATGCACACTCTCTCATATCTCATATAACTATTGCTCTCTATCATCTCATGTCTCTATTAAACACAGGTGCTCCCATATTTCATATAACTCTCTCTCTCTCTCTCTCTCTATCTTATATCTATTTTAAATACACACTCTATATATCTCTCTCTCTCGCTCTCGTATCTTTTTTAAACACATACTCTTTATATTATATATATATATATATCTCATACTCTCTCTCCTATCTCTTAGACATCACACACTCTCCCATATAACCTAACATTATTTGTTTTTAGCTTTTTTCGGCTAAAATCACTTTAAAATTAATTATCCAACGATCTTAATTATTCTCTAAATTTATTTTTCTGCTCAAGAATTGGATTAAGAGTTTTATATTATGTCTAATTCTAGACTCTCATCTCTCATACATCTCTATCTCTCAAGTTCTCTCATATACGTATTCTCCTCTTTCTGTCTCACTCGCACTCTCATATACATGTCTCTCTCTCTCACACACACACACCCCACAGCACCACCCCTGCCAACGCCGCATTGCCGCCATCATTCCCAAGTAATTTTTCATCTCTTTTGCTTCGTTCTTCATCCCATTTGTTACACACAGAACACACACTCATAGACAACCCACTGTTCGCCTCCAAACCCCACTACCACACCTATTTCTCTCTCTCTCTCTCTCTCTCTCTCTCACATGCACGCACACCCTGCCAATGCCATAGCGCCCCCACCTCCAAACCCCACCCACCACCATATCTTACTACTACATTTACTTTAGTTTTGGCAAGAGTATATACTCTAAATTTCTTGTGTTGTGCTTTTATAAGATACTTTTAGTGGAGATGACAAACTATGGTGACGTTAATGGCATGGTGTCCAGAATAGATAAAACCATCAGAAGATGAGCTAAATATGGCTATGCTTGGAAACTTAAAAGTTGGTGAGGAATATTGTCCCTCCGCTCATCTGAGTTTTACTTCGTGTTTTAGCGTTTTTCTTTCTAGTTACATCCTAATTGCAATTTTCCCTATTTTATAGGTCAAATGCATTATATGCTCCTTATGATTTTGACCGTTATCATCTATGATGGCCATTTCTTGAGGTTGTTAATGTGGCGTGTTGAATGAATATAGTAATAAATTTTATAAATGTTTCTGCAGTTATCTTGGGGCTGTACTGGATATTTTTATCACATTAGACTATGATTTTCCATGCCCAAGTAACAATGATGTGGGACTAAGGTATTTGGGTATGTGGATTAGAATCATTTTTTCTGCTATTGTTTTTGTATCTTGGCATTTTTTTTCATTTTAGCATTTGAAAAATAACTTTTTTTTTTGTGAATTACATTTTATTAGTTGAATATCAATGGGTTTGTTAATTTTATATTTTACATAGACTTATATATTTAAATTTTGAGTTTGATTATTTTAGTTGAAACGAGTGATTCAAAAAATCATGAAAAGCCAAGAATTTGAAGGGCTACAAGACCACTTGGAGTGGAATGGTTTCTAGGAATAGATAAAGAGAAAGTGGATTAAAGGAGTCACAACTCTTATTTTTATCTTATCATCCTTGTAAGCAATGGGTTCTCCAGCATTTGAGAATGCTTGAACTGCTCTTTGGTGTGCAAGAGAGATGCTTGAAACAGTGATGATAATAAAAATAAGGGCTTGAATGAATGAGAAGTGAGAGTTTTGGGACATGGGTGGTTATAATGATAAATGGTCGACGGTATGTGTGATAATTATTAATTTTTTAAACTGATTTTTTTAATGAGATTGGTTTCTTTTTCCCATACTTCTGAATAAATGCTTGTTAATTTCGAGTTTGTGCATGAGTTCTATATGTTTAATATGTT